TTTCCTCCTTTTTTTTGTTTGTTTTAGATCGTACATGTAAAGTATGGAATCTGGTGACTGGGCAGGAGATAATGTCATTGGGTGGTCATCCCAACAATGTCGTATCTGTAAAATACTGTAATTATACAAGTTTGGTCTTCACCGTTTCAACATCTTATATTAAGGTGTGGGATATCAGAGATTCAGCAAAGTGCATTCGAACGCTGACGTAAGTAACTTAGGGAAAGCATAAGTGGGGAATAGTTCTTTTCTACTAAATATAAAGGAAGATAGGACTGTGAATTCTTATTTATTTATACTTGTCTGCCATCAAAAGAGTGTTAAATTATTTACAATAAAAATACAGATAGAATGATGGTGAAAAAATAATTGGTAGAATAAAAGACAAGAGCTAGATATTAAACATGCAGGGCTAAACCATATTAAAAATGACTTTTGGTGATGATGGTTGTGTGCTATAATGTTGGTTTCAACTCATAACAAACCTGTAAGGGGTTTCCAAGACCATACATCTTTACGGGAGTAGGAAGCTTCATCTTCTCTTGAGGAGTGGCTGGTGGATTCCAACTGCCGACCTCATAGTTAGCTCAATTCCTAACCACCTGGACTCCTTGACAAAAAAAAATAAAAAAGATTTATCTTTGTGGCTAAGTATACATTTCATATTTTCTCCCTCCCAAATATTTTGGTATTATATTGCTTATTATTTATTACCAGATGTAGTAAATGATTTACATTATCTGCTGCATATGAATGAAACTCTTTTGAAATAGTAAAAATCACTGGTGTAGGTGAATAATTATCTTAAATAATCAAAATTGAGGTGAACTTTATATTGGTTTAAGTGAGAGATGAGAGTATGGGAAGTCATTTTTACTGATTTCTAAAGATTATTAAAATTTAAATGCTAGTTTATGATTTGAGAACTATTAATTACATAAATCACTTAGGGATGATTTTGCAGTAAGAGCATTTTATTCTATTTTATTTTGTAGTAAAAACAATTTGTTTGAATCACTAAAACAAAATTTGAAAAATTACTGTAACTTTTAGAAGTTAATTGAGAATTTTTTAAAAAATTAATTTTTTGCCATCTAGAATTCATCTGAGGAAATACAAATGAGATACGTTTAACTCTTTAGCACGTAGTAGGTATTGCATATATTTCACTGGACACCTGTTTTTGAGAAGGAGCCAGAAGGTTGGTTCCTCAGATCTAACTCCCTGAATAGCTGGTTGTTGTCTTTCCCCCAGATTTATAGGAAAATGAGTAAGAAAGGCATACATGTTTATAATAAGGGATATGATAAGACTGAGGATTGATTGAACTCATGTATGCTTTGAATTAAAGGGCCATGCAATTTTTAATTCACTGTATGGGAAGTGTTTGGGGTTTTGTGCTCCAGAAACCAGAAAGCTGCTGGAGGGTTTATTAAGTTGGTTCTGTTGGCTGAAAGACTATACACACGTGTGAGGGCCTGAACAAGTTGATTCTGGTTTGTGCTGGGTATTTTCTTTGTGCCACTGCTGGCTTCTGAAAATTATGTCCTGCAACGAATTACCAAAAGAATAAGGTAACAACCCCAGACGTGTCTGTTTTAGACCTGGCCCACAGGGGGCTTCTGGAAGCTGCAGAAAACTGAATTACTTTGTGTGTTTATCATTTGTTGGTTTTTAGCTTTGACATCTAATTCTTTCTGAGTGGGATTTTGGTCTGCCTAATTCAGGACCTAGTTTTATCTGGAATTTCTGGCATTATAATAGTTCTACAAATTAAAAGTTTCAAATCATTTTATATTATTTAATTCATTCATTTATTCACTTATTCAACATTTGCAAGTGCCAACTTTGCAATGCTAGTTGCTATGTATGTATATGCTGGCAAAAAGTACAGAGTTCCTTTGTTGCCTCAGCCTGTTTCAGAGGAACTCAAGAAATTCTAGACCAAACTTTTGTTTGTTTTGTGAAGGTCTTCAGGTCAAGTTACTCTTGGGGATGCTTGTTCTGCAAGTACCAACCGGACAGTTGCTATTCCTTCTGGAGAGAACCAGATCAATCAAATTGCACTAAACCCAACTGGCACTTTCCTCTACGCAGCTTCTGGAAATGCTGTCAGAATGTGGGATCTTAAGAGGTAGGATTTTTAAGAACATGTACTTATTGCATATTATTCCAACATATTGATATATCTGAGATCTAATTTTTGTAACCCCAGAAGTTACTGTAAAACCACAGCCATTGCTGAAAATAATATATGGAGATAAAAAAGAATTGGAACCATAAACTTGCTTAGAATTTGTCTACATAGTTTTTTTATGAGAGACTCAAATTCTTGTTCTAGTTTTATTAGTATCGACAAAAGAATTATTATTTGAAACATTATTTAAATATCTAATATATCAAAATTTTCAGTTCATAAACTTAATAGGTTTGAGTATAAATTTTCACAGAAGTTTTATAGCAGTAAAATCTATGCAAAAGATGAAGAAGAGGAAGTGGTTAAAAAAGAAAAATGTCATTATAGTATTTATTTAATTTTCATTTTCCATCAAATGTGAGCTTTTATCCTTTAGTCAAATATTTATTTCTTAAATTCTTTATTACAAAGGATTCATTCATTCATCATTTAACAAATATGAATTGAGCACCAGTTATAACAAGCACTGTATCAACATTGGTAGGTACTGGGAATAAAGAATGAACAAATCCAATGATGTCTACCCTTGTTGTTGTTGTTAAGTGCTGTCAAGTCACTTCTGACCCATAACAACCCTGTACAGGGTTTTCGAGGAACAATTGGTGGGCTTGAACTGCTGACCTTGTAGTTCAAATGGACTTTGCAGTCCAATGCATTAACCCCCAGTGCCATACCAGTAGACCCTACCCTTATTAGAGCTCATCTTTTCATGGAGAATAAGGACCATTCAACAGGCAATGGGAGTCACTGGACTACTAACCATGAGGTCAGCAGTTCAAACCCACCAGCCACTCCCCGTAAGCCCCATACAGGGTTGTAACTGACTCAATGACACAAAACAATAAACAGACTACTACAGAATATTGTATAAAGCCTGCAATTCAGGTAAGTAGGATGCCTCTCACTGAGAAGAAATTTGCCAGTAGTGGTATATCAAATGGATAATTACTTGAGAAACATAAAAAAAAAAAAAAATCTGGTGTTATGATTGTTAACATTTTGGATCATTACTGAGGAAGTATAATTAGCACTATTGATAGATTAATAGATGAAAGAAAGTGATATGGGAGGCATACTCTTGAATATTGTATTAGAATTGTAGGAAATTGGAAAGAATGTTAAGAAATTTGCAAACGTTGAGAACTTGGTTTATTCTTGAAAATGTTATAATTGAGTCATGCTAGGAGCAGTATGGAGGAAGATTGTCAAAGTGGTGGCATAGAAACAATTCGTGATGACTTTTAGAGATCTTACTAGTTTTTATTTGACTGAAAAAAGTAGACCTTTGAAGCTTGATTTCAGCAACCGGATTAAACTAAATATATCTTAACAAAGAGAATTGTTTTGGAGAAATTTCACTATTCTATGAGTCAAATACATCTCTGTGCCCCAGAAGCTTGGTTTGAGGTAGGATTATGAAGCAAAAAATTCATTGTCACTCTTATAAGTGACTTCACACATTTTCTACAAACCAGATATCTCTCCCAGTTTCTGTATATCTTTACCATAATTGATGAAATAGACCACTTATCCTCTAACTTATTCATGTATCTCTGATGTATGCATATATGTGTATGTTATTATTGTGTGCTGTTGTTGAGTTGGTTCCTACTCATAGTGACCCTGTGTAGTGTTTCTAAGGAGTGGCTGGTGGGTTTGAACCAACAACCTTGTGGTTAGCAGCACCACACCAAGACTCCATATGTGTGTATGTTGTTGTTGTTGTTAAGTGCCATCAAGTCGATTCCAACCTATAGCGACCCTTACAGGGTTTCCAAGGAACAGCTGGTGAGCTTGAACCACCTACCTTGCAGTTCAAATGACTTTGCAGTCTGACACATTAGCCCACAGCACCACACCATGACACCTGTATGTGTATATTGTTGCTGTTGTTAAGTGCTGTCAAGTCGGTTCTGCCCCATAGCAACCCTGAATAGCGTTTCCAAGGAGCAGCTGGTGAGTTTGAACTACTGACTTTGCAGTTCAAACGGCTTTGCAGTCTGATGCATTAACCCACAGCGCCACACCAGGACTCCATATGTGTATGTAGGTGTATATATATATGTGTGTGTATACATGTGTAAATCTGATACGTATGTCTGTCTATATGTGATTATGAGAATAGACATCTATATGAGATTGTGTATATAAATATTTGCTGTTTCTTTTTTCTGAGCCCTTCACTCCTCCCAATTCCTTTCAGGCAGGGCTTTTGTTTATCGATGTTTATGTGTATGTATATACATATGTGTTTGTGTGTGTAAAATAGACAATGCAATTTCTTCATTTTGGTATTGATTTTCTAGTTATACTGATAATATCAAAGTGGACCTAATAACTTTAATCATATGTCTATAATGTGTTTAGACGTTTTAACAGATTAAGATTGACCTGGATCTAGATTGGAATAAAATGAGCCTATCATCATTTTTCACACTTTTGCTGCTTTTTGTTTACTACCTAAATAACATGAATCAAGTCGGAAATAATTTACTTAAGACTTCTCTGCTTTCATAGACTATGCCAGTTTGACCATCTTTTACTCTAATTTGAAGAGTGGTTCCTGAAGGTGGAATTCAAAAAATAAAAGAATTAGTAAACAACTTTATCAAAATTTATAGATTTTTTTTTTGAGGCTTTGCACACTCAGGTATTTTCAAACAAAGTTAATTTTTGTTTCTTTTTAAAGGTTTCAGTCTACAGGAAAGTTAACAGGACATCTCGGTCCTGTCATGTGTCTTACTGTCGACCAGATTTCCAATGGACAAGATCTCATCGTCACTGGTTCCAAGGATCATTACATCAAAGTATGTATAGTAGTATTGTTGAATTAAATTCTATCTCCTATTAAATGATACCTTAGAATTTTTCAAATTCATTTCAGACTACTTTCTTTAGTTGATTTTCCTTTTCTGTCTTTCAATTTTCTTTTTTTTATTTTTCCCTCATTCAGAGTTCCTGATGATTATTGTCAACCATGTATTTTCATTTTTCGTAGACGACAGACTAAGAAAGGATCTTAAAGCTCTCTTAGCTTAGTCATCCAATTAAGGCTTGAGTATCATGGTCATTGAACAAGTATGGTGAAAGAACACAACCCTGTCACACACCTTTCCCAATTTTTAAACATTCAGTGTTCCCATGCTCTGTTCGAACAACTGCCTCTTGGTCCAGGTACAGATTTCTCAAAAGTACAATTAAGTGTTCTGGAATACTGATACTTCTCAATGTTGTCCATAGTTTGTCATGATCCACACAATCGAACGCCTTTGCGTAATCAATAAAGCATAGGTAAACATCCTTCTGGTATTCTCTGCTTTCAGCCAAGATCCATCAGACATCCGCAATGATATCTCTCGTTCCACGGCCTCTTCTGAATCCAGCTTGAACCTCTGGAAGTTCTCTGTCAATGTATGATTGTAGCCATTTCTGTATTACCTTTCGCAAAACTTTACTTGCTTGAGATAGCAAAGAGATTGTCCGATGATTTCCACATTCTGTTGGGTCACCTCTCTTTGGAATGGGCACAAATATTGAAACATATACTTATGAAGATCACAGAGCACAGCCTTCGATATGGATTACATCTCAATGTTAAGAAAACAAGAATCCTCACGACTGGATCAATAAGAAGCATTCTTATCAATGGAGAAGAGATTGAAGTTGTCAAGGACTTCATTCTTCTTGGATCAACTGTCAACACTCGCGGAAGCAGTGGTCAGGAGATCAGATGACGTGTTGCATTGGGCAAATCTGCTGCACAGGAACTTTTTAAAGTACTGAAGAGCAGAGATGTCAGCTTGAGGACTAAGGTGCGTCTGACCCAAGCCATGGTAATTTCAATAACCTCATATGGAGAAAGCTGGGCAGTGAATAAGGAAGATCGTAGAAGAATTGATGCCTTTGAGTGGTGGTGTTGGAGGACTGCCAAAAGAACCAATAGATCGGTTTTGGAAGAAGTACAACCAGAGTGCTCCTTGGAGGCCAAGATGGCTAATCTTCGTCTCTCCTACTTTGGACACCTTGTCTAGAGAGAACAGTCGCTGGAGAAGGATGTCATGCTGGGTACGGTGGAGGGTCAGAGAAAAAGAGGAAGACCCCAACGAGATGGATCAGCCAGGTGGCATCATTGATGGCGTCAAGTGTGGCAGTGGTAGTGAGGTTGGCCCAGGATTGGACATTGTTACATTTTGCTGTGCATGGGGTCGCTATGAGTCGGTTCTGACTCGATGGCACCTGACAACAACAACAACAACAATCGTGGTCATTGTCTATTATAATAAGACTATTATGGTTTCAAAATTTTACTGAATTTGTAAATAAGATGAAGAAAGATGAATAGTGTGATTCTGGAAATATTAAATTTGAGGTACTAACAAGACCTCCACATATAGACCAGCAAGCCATTAGAAATGCATGTACATAGAAGCCGGGGCAGGGTGGTGGGGTAGGCTGACACATTGACCAACCCTCAGCAACAGACATGGGAGACTGAATGAAACAAATACTGTTGGTGAGTCTGGAACACTGAGCATCAGGGGACAAGACAGAGAAGTGGATTGACTGGAAGAGGAATTTGAACAGGAGGAGCCAGAGAGATGAAAAGCAGATGGACTTTAGGCTGGCATGGAGTGGTGTAACCATCTTAGGCATTTGTGAGTGGCTACTGATACAGCTATGACACCATAGGATAAGCACTGGACTCCTAAATGCAGACTCAACAGTGCTTAATAGCAACAACAGTGATACATCTGCCTACACGTCCAGGACGTGGCTGGAGTACAGTTGGTGGCAAGGGGTACAGTTCTCCCTTGCTCCCGTGCCCTTGTGGTACAGCTGTCAGTGGTACCCCCTCCTTTATAGCCTCTGCTCTTCTTGGGCCCAGGCATTGGGCACAATGCCCCTGCTTCTGGAGGCACAGGAACGTGCCCTGAACTATGCTGCACAAACAGTGACTTAACGGTGTTCACACTTTCTGTGTCTACCACATCCACCAGGAGACACATGGTGAATGCCTGAGAACACACCAATATACAGTCATCAATCATATATATGTGGACACTACAATATCCTAGGGAAAACAGACAATTTCAGTTTACACAAAGAAACAAGACAGAGTTCCTCATACAAGTGACCAAAATACAGAGTCAGAAAATATAACACCAGAAATGGTATCAGAATTACCTGAGAAGGAATTTAAAAGAATGCTAATAAGGCAACTTTAAAAGCTTGAAAGAATGATCAAGAAAATTATAAACTGAATCAGGGAAAACATAGGCAAAACTTTAGAATTCAGGAAACAAGCTGACAAAATAAATGAAAAATTGGGAACCATACAAAAATAGCAATCAGAAAAGCCAGAAGATTAAATACTAAGATTTCAGAAATAGATAATACACTGAAAGGGCAAAGAAGTAGAATTAGAGCAATGGAAGGCCAAGTTACTGAGCTTGAAGCAAAATCCCAATATTCATCTCCTGGAGGAACAATCTGCAAAACGAACAAGAATATACAAAGAAAGATTAAGATTTATGTGTGACACTATCGAGGAACAATGTATGTGTGATTGGAGTTCCAGAGCAGCAAGAAAGCAAAAAAAAAAAAAAAAGCATAGAGAAGAAAACTTGCCTAACGCCATGAAAGACAAGAAGTTAGCCATTCAAGAACGCCAAACAGAATAGACTCCGAAAGAAAAACACCAGCATATAGTTAAACTTTTCAAAACCAAAAACAAGGAAAGAATTTTGAAGTAGCTTAGGAAAAATGAAGTTACCTATAAAGAAGAAGTAATAGGACTAAGCTCTGATTCTCAGCAGCAGCCACGCATGCAAGAAAACAATGGAATGATATGTGTAAACTCTGAAAGAAAAAAAAAGAAAATTGCCAGCCAAGAACTCTATTCCAATAAATTTGTCCATCAAATATGACAGCAAAATTAGGCCATTTTGAGATAAACAGAAATTAAAAGAATGTGTAAAAACTTTGCTTTCCTGAATTGACCAACATTACCAAAAATACTAACAGGTGTTCTTTGAATAGAAAACCAACAACAGCAAACAACAATCTCTGAGACTAACAAACATGACAAATCATCACCTAGACTGAATCCAGATATGGAAATATTCAAAGAAAAACAGACCTATAAAACTGAAAATAGAGAACTGAAAATACAGTTTCAAAAATAACAACAAAAACATATAGTAAAAAGAGGGAATAATGCAGTTACAGAACTTCTAATTGAAAAGAAAAATCAAGTAGATTTCACACAAAAAAATGAATAAAAATAAACCTTACTGAAACCTTAAAATATTAGATCAAGCCTTACTCCTAACTCTAGTCCAACCTTTACCCTAACACTAACTCTAATCCTAACCATACTCTAACACTAAACGAAGTCCTAGGCCTAGCCTAGATTTAGTCACAGTCCTAAACCTAACCCTCACTCCTTACTCCTACTCACCTTTTCCCCCTCCCCACCAAAAAAGAAATGTATATAAAACTCAAGATAAGTTTTGACTAGAAATGTAGAGTTGGGAGCTATTAAAATAGATGCAAATGTTCAATGCGTAGATGGCACTGTCAAAGCAGGGAGAAGTCAAGGACTCAGCTTTGGTGCATAAATGTAAGAATCAATAGGAATACAAAGAGGATAAGGTTAGAAAGAAAGGTAGGAAGATACAAATGAACATCTGGAGTAGGGAGTAATCAATTGTGTCACATGCCACAGGTAGATAGAATAGGATGAGGTCTTGCGATGACTGGATATGCCTATTTAGAGGTAGCTGCTAAGACTGAACTTTCTTTAAATGCAAGGACAGAAGTCCTAGTATTGTAAGTTGAAAGATGAGAGATGGTTAAAGGGAGAGGATTTTATATTCAGGAGATCTGAGCTTGATTACATGCTTAGGAAATGGGCTCAGTGGAATGGACAAGAGGGAAGAAGAATGAAGTGGCAGCAAGTGATGAAGATGGTAGGAGGAGTTAGGTCATAGATGGGAACCTCGGAAAGAAGTATACTTCAGCCTCTGAGCAGAAGAGAGATTCTGAGGATGTTTGAAGATGGCAAGAACCTTTCACAGTGAAGAGTATCCAAAATGTTTATCTTGGATTAACCTAGTCTGTTTAGGAAAGCACAAGGTCACCAGCTAAGAGAGATGAGAGCAACTGAAGAAAGTGGAAAGGATTTTGAACAGCAGCTTAAGGGATGAACTCGAGAAATGCACTAAGTTGATTCAAACTCACAGCAACCCGACAGGACAGAGTAAAACTTAGGCTTTCCAAGACTGTAAACCTTTACAGGGACAGCTTCATCTTTTTCCAGAGGAGCAGCTGGTGGGCTTGAGCCACTGATCTTACATTTAGCAATGTTGACATTGCTATTAGTTGCTGTTGAGTTAATTCTAACTCATAGCAACCCTGTATAGAGTTGCCGAGGTTATTAATCCTTATGAGAGCAGAAAGCCCATCTTTTCTCCTGGAGTGACTGGTGGGTTTGAACTGCCAACCTTGTGTAGCAGTCCAATGCTTATCCTGCAGCACCACCAGCACTCACAGTTAGCAGTGTTGTTGTTATGTGCCGTGAAGTCGATTCCAACCTATAGCGACTCTGTACAGGGTTTCCAAGGCTGTAAATTTTTACAGTTAGCAGTAGAGATACCTAATAGTGATTAAATGACACCGTATTATTTACTTGGATTTCAACTGGATTGGTATATGTTATTTCTATTATTGATCGTATTATTTATATACTTACACATTAAAAAATCGGGCTCTTCAAAGCCTACAGACATATAAACATGACATGTAAACAAAAATACTGTGAAAAATAAAGTTTGGAGTCATGCTCAGTATCATTCATAGTAGGTTAATTGAACTAATTTAGTAAATTACTATAACAAAGCAAATCCACTCTCTGATTAATGTATGTGCATGTATGTTTATGAATGTACACATTAGATGCATATTTGTAAATTACATGGGATGACCCCTTTCTTTCTGCTCTTTTAGATGTTTGATGTAACTGAAGGGGCTCTTGGAACTGTGAGTCCTACCCACAATTTTGAACCTCCTCATTATGATGGCATTGAAGCCCTAACTATTCAAGGAGATAATCTCTTTAGCGGGTCCAGAGACAATGGAATCAAGAAATGGGATTTAGCTCAAAAAGACCTTCTTCAGGTAATGCAAAGTTTTCATAGTGTGGCACTTCAATTGCTTGTATTAGTTTCCTTTGGGTGGTGTAACAAAATGCAGTCAATTGGTGGCTTATAAACCACAAAACCAAACTCAGTGCCATCAAGTCAGTTCTGGCTGATAGTGACCCAGTAGGGGTTTCTGAGACTGTAAGTCTTTATGGGAGCAGATGGCTTCATCTTTTTCCTGTGGAGTAGCTGGTGGGTTTGAACTGCTGACCTTGTGTTTAGCAGCCCAGTGCCTAACCCACAGCACCACCAGGTGACATATAAGAACAGAATTTTATTGTGTCATAGTTCTGGAGGTTAAAAGTTCAAATCCATGTGTTAGCTGATTCTTGCTTCTCCAAAAATCTCTAAGGACAGATCTTTTCTTGTGTCTTCCAGCTTCTGGTAGTTACTTGCATTACAGGGTCACCATGAGGCAGCACAACAACAGAGGTAGAGCAGTTGTAGTTTCTCATTTTGTTTTATGTACACAAATTTTAAGAGGACCAAATAGTATAAATGATTCCTTACCTACTGAAGACTGTTCATTCATCCAAAAGTGACGATTCTCCCATTTCCAACAAAACAGTAGTTGGAATGAAGTGTTTCATTAATAAAATCAATTATTGGCCTTTTCTGATCGTTAGGTTAAAAAATTAATTAACAGAAAAAAAGGTTCTCAATGTCAAGCTTTTCTTGGTCTGTGCACAACTGTGTATATATGGCATTTGCCACCATATTCCTGCTTGCAGTTAGCTGATGGAAATGAAATGAACATGTTAGCATGAATATCGATAGAAAAACTTGATAACGTATATTTTTTCAAAAGTTTTTCTTTTGTCACGTATGCTCATGGTTGCAATTTTTATATAGCATACATGCATATATTTGTATATAAAATATAGTTATATAGCCTGATCATATGATTATTATTTGCTTACATTATGAAATGTACTGGTTACCTCTGGTCTTCTTCAGAGTATCCTCTAGCAAAGGTGATTTTACTTAACAGTCCTTTAGTCTACATGGATTTCTGGTGTGGTGCTATAGGATAAGCACTGGACTGCTAACTGAAAGGCTAGTGGTTCAAACCCACCAAGTCACTCCTTGGAAACCTGATACAGGATCGCTGTGAGTCAAAACTGATTCAATGGCACTTAACAACAACAACAACAACATAGTGTACATATCAGATGTAGTTCTCAAATGTGATTTATTCTTACCCATGAAGGGATGTGATGGTAGAAGAATTCTATATGCTTTCCTGGTATTTTAGACTCTACAGATTATTCATATTACGGACTTTTAATACTCATAATGATAATAATTATCAGGCAAATTGGGAGGCAAATTATTTCTTTAAACTGTGAGTGTTTAGAAAATGAACTTTTTACAGTTTCCAGGCTATTCAGTGTTCCCAGTATTGAATTTCATGAATAAAAATATTTGTAACTTTTTTTGTGTGAAAATAATCAGAATGGAAACTAATGAAATTGTCAATTTCTCTTTACTCTCTCAGCAAGTTCCTAATGCACATAAGGACTGGATCTGTGCCCTGGGAGTGGTGCCAGGCCACCCAGTTTTGCTCAGTGGCTGCAGAGGGGGCATTTTGAAACTCTGGAACGTGGAGACTTTTGTGCCAGTTGGAGAGATGAAGGGTCACGACAGTCCTATCAATGCTATATGTGTTAATTCCAGCCACGTGTTCACTGCAGCTGAGTGAGTTTTTCCATTGTGATTTTCCTCTGTACTGACGTCTGTGTCTCAGTTTGATATTGTGTCCCATTAGCACAATCACTCTGACATCTGTTTTAAGTTATCCTTTATATTTTTTGCTGTGCAGTGTAGGCACTGAATGTAGGCTCTCTAGGTTGCATACCAATAGCATTGCTCCTATACTAGCATTCTGTTTATAACAGGAAGTTTGCTGCCAGATTGTCCACTCGTGGTTTTAATTTTTAAAAACCATTCATAGATGGAATTAATGATTTAGAACAAATCATGTATAAGATTACTGTGTGCCTCTTTTTTCCCTCTCTTTAATGATGAAGTAATGACATCTGTTTCTTCCCTCTTATGAATAGCTGAATTGATGGATTAATTTGTTCCTTTATTCATTCATTCACAGTGAACATCATATATTTCAGGCACTGTTCTAGATTCTTGGGACTAGAGCAGTTAAAAACCAGATCCAACCCCCAGTTAATATTCTAGTGAGAAGAAACGGAACACAAATAAACAATATATATTAGATACTGCTAAGTGCTATGGAGAATAAGGATGCTGAGAATTTTAATGTAAATGTCATGGGGAGGTCTCACTGAGAAGGTGACATTTTAAGCAAAGGCTTGAAAAAGAGGTAGAAAGAGATTATGACCAAAAAAAAAAAAAAAAGATATGTATATGAGTAATTTGTAAAGGAAAGCATATATACGTACCAAATATAATGTTAGTATTATTTGAATAAAAGATAAGGTCTCATGAATATCTATCTTGAAATATGTCCTGTGCCATTTGTGCTTCAGTTATAGCACTTAATTAAAAGTGAGTACCTCCTTGAATTTAGTCTACCATGAATGGACACAAATGCCTTGATTTTATTTAAAAATATCTATGGCATCTCTTATTACTTGTACTGTTTTTATGGAATTGCTCTTTTCATTTAGACTTACTTTTTTTCATCTTTAAAGTATATCCAAGCCAATTGATTTACATGTTTCTAGGATGCTTATCATCAGTGCTTCATTGATGTTTCCAAGTTACATCACTTTCTTCAGAGTCACCATTTTTGTTTATTTCTTTATAAAGTTATTGTGCCTTTAATAATTTACTGGGAATTACTTGATACCAGTAAAAACTTTGGCCACTCAGTATAACTAAGCCTGTAAAAGTATTGCATATCATTGAGGCTTGGTGAAAAAATACAATGTTATTACACTCAACTCTTTGATATTGTCTCATTTTTAAAGAACAAGACCTTTTCTTAGTTTTCACATGGTTCTGAACACTTTGAAAGCATTTACTCATTTATTTTTCATAACTCTGGTGGTGGTGGTGGTAGTGTGCCGTGGAGTCGGTTCTGACTTTTAGCGACCCTGTATAGGGTTTACTGGCCGTAAATCTTTACGGGAGCAGAAAGCCTCATCTTTGTCCCATAGAACAACTGGCAGTTTCAAACTGCTGACCTTGAGATTAATAGCCCAACTCATAACCACTGTGCTACCAGAGCTCCAGAAGATAAGTATTTAAAATTAAAAAAAAGAAACACAGTGTTTGAGTAACTTACTCAGAGTCCCACAAATAGTACATGATAGAACCAGGACTTGGAATCAGATGATTTGGTAGGCTAGTATAGGAGTTTACATATTTAGTCACCACACATTTTCCTTCTCCAATATATTCCTTGTTGTTGTTGTGAAGTGCCGTTGAATCAGTTGCCACCTGTATAGGGTTTCCGAGGAGCAGCTGATGAGCTTGAACTGCCATCCTTGTAGTTCAAAAGGCTTTGCAGTCTGGTGCATTTCCTTAGTTCCGTATTTATTTTTACTTTCTCTGTTTCCCTTTTATCAGGGTTCACAGCTTTGTACTTCCTGTTGCCTGTATCTGAAAATAGTTATTCCATATATTTTGCCAAATTTAGTCTCTGATTATAGGAAGAGGGCAACTTGGTGAAGTTACTCTGTCATGGTTAGTAATGGAGGTTCCAATTCCTCAAATTTAGCATGCCCAAAACTAAACTCTTGATCTTCCCCACACACACAAAAAATTCTCTTCAACCCACAGCCACAACTTTCATCATCTTGGGTGATGCCTGTTTCTTCTATAGCTCATTCCAGAAACCTTTACTCCTTCCTTTCTGTCACATTCCATATTCTATCCATCAACAAATCCTATCTGTCTACATTTAAATTAAATCTATAATCTGGCCACTTCTTACCATAATTTATACCTCACTGGCCCTAGTCACCACCACCTTTTACCTGGATTACTACAATAAAAACTAGTTGCTGTTGAGTCATTTATGTTTCTTGAAGACCCCGTGTGTGACAGTAGCCTCCTAAAAAAGGTCACTTGCCCATAAATATACTCTATTATCAACACAGAAGCTAGAGTAATCGTAAAACACATGTTTGATCATATTCCTTCTCTACTCAAAACCCCGCATTTCACCTAGAGTAGAGGCCATACTTGATCTGACCCTATAAAATTTCCCTTGCCTTTACTTCTATTTCTCTCCAGCTTATTCTTTCTGTCCCATCTCAAATAACCTCTTGTCTGGTTGTTATAAAACCAATTGTGTTCCTGAAAAATATGTGTTGTGAATCTCAACCTCTATGTCTGTGGCTCCTCACTTGTCTGTCAATTTTTTGTTCTGCATTGACTTGCATGTTCCTGTTATGCTGGACGCTGCACTGCAGTTTTCAATACCCACGGTGGACAGGTTTCCAGCAGACCTTCCAGACTAAGAACGAACTAGGAAGAAGATCCACTTCTAAGGAATTAGACACTAAAATCCTTATCAATAGCAGTGAAATATTGGCTGATATAAGCTGAGACCCTCAGATTGGAATGCACTCAAAATATAGTTGGGAAAGAACTGCCTCCTCAAAGTAGTGTCAACTTTAATGATGTGGATGGAGCTAAGCTTTCAAGATCTCTATTTGCTGACGGATGTGACTCAAAATGGATCGAAATAGCTATGAACGTTCATTAATAATTGGAACATGGAATGTAAGAATTATGATTCTAAGAAAATTGGAAATTGTCAAAATAAAATGAAACCCATAAAGTTTGATATCCTAGGCACTAGTGAACTAAAATGGACTGGTATTATCCATTTTGAATCAGATAATCATATGGTTTACAAATGACAAATTCAAGAGAAATGGTGTCACATTCATCATCAAAAAGAACATTCCAGGATCTGTCTTGAAGTGCAGTGTTGTCTGTGATAGGATAATATCTACAAGGAAGACCAATTAATACCACTGTTATTCAAATTTATGCACCAACCAATACAGCCAATGATGGAGAAATTGAAGAATTCTATCAGTTTCTTCAGTCTGAAATTAATCAAGCATGCAAACAAGATGCAGTGATAACTACTGGTGAGTGAAATGAAAAATTAGAAACAAAAAGGAAGGATAAGTAGTTGGAAATTGTGGCCTTAATGATAGAAATGACGCTTGGGGTTGCATGACACAATTTTGCAAGACCAATGATTTAATCATTGTAAATACCATTTTCAACAACATAAACAATAGCTGTATACACGGACCTCGCCAGATTGAATACATGAAACCGAATTGACCTCATCTGTGGGACAAGACGATGGAGGTCAGTATCATATGAACATTCAGACTAAAGTTGAAGAAAATTGAGACAAGGCTGCAAGAGCCAATACAACTTTGGGTATATCCCACCTGAATTTAGAGATCATCTCAAGAATATTAGTGCATTGAACACTAATGACCATAGACCAAACTGTTGTGAAATGACTGTTGGTTAATACAGTGCTGGAAGCTGAACATGAACATCAAGAACATGATGTCATGAAGAAGCAAAAGGTAATTAAAAAGAAAGGAAAGACCAAAGTGGATGTTAGAAGAGACTCTGAAACTTGCTCTTGCAAATAGAGATGCTAAAGTGACTGGAAGAAATGAGGAGTAAAAGAAATTAACAGAAAATTACAAAGGACAGCTTGAGAAGACAAAGTAAAGTATTATAATGAAATGTGCAAAGACTTGGAATTAGAAAACAGTAAGGGAAGAACAGGCCTAGCATTTCTCAAACTGAAAGAACTAAGGAAAAATGTCAAGCCTTGACTTGCAATATTGAAGGATTCTGTGAGCAAAATATTGAATGATGTGTAGGAAGCATCAAAAGAAGATGGAAGGAATACACATAGGCACTGTACCAAAAAGAAGTGGTACATGTTCAACCATTTCAAAAGCTAGCATATGGTCAAGAATCAATGGTATTGAAGGAAGAAGTCCAAGCTGTATTGAAGACATTCAGGAAAAACAAGGCTCTAGGAATTGACCAGTTGGAATGTTTCAACAAACTGATGTAGTGCTGGAGGCACTCATTAGTCTATGCCAAGAAATTTGGATGACTTGTCTCATTGAACAGAAGAGATCCACATCTGTGCCAATCATAAGGAATAATGATTCTCAGAATGTAGAAATTATCTAATATCATTAATATCACATGCAAGCAAAATTTTGTGGAAGATAATTAAAAAATGGTTGTAGCAGTACACTGACAGTGAGCTGACAGAATTTGAGCTGGGTTCAGCAAAGGATGTGGAATGAGGGCTATCACTGCTGACTTCAGATGAATCTTGGCTGAAAGCAGAGAATATGAGAAAGATGTTGAACTGTGTTTCGCTGACTATGCAAAGGCATTCAACTGTATATAACAAACTATGGATAGCATTGTGAAAATAAACTATGGATTGTTGTTGTTTGTTGTTAAGTGCCATTTAGTCGGTTCCGACCCATAGTGACCCTGTATAAGGTTTCTAAGGAATGGCTGGTGAGATTGAACCACCAACCTTGTTTCAAACCAACTTTGCAGTCCAGTGCATTAACTCACAGTGCCACACCAATACCTCATAAACTATGGATAACATTGCAAAATTCAAATTGAATAACAAACTATGGATAACACTGTGAGAATGAGAATTCCAGAACACTTAATTCTGGAAATAAGTGCTCATGAGGAACCTGTACATAGACCAAAAGTCAATTTCTAACAGAGAAAGGAAAGATTGTATCCTTTCACTATACTTATTCAATCTGTAGGATGAACAAATAGTCTGAGAAACTAGACTATATGAAGGAGAACATGGCATCAGGATTAGAGGAAAGTTCATTAACAACCTTTGGTATGCAGATGATGCAGTGCTGCCTGTTGAAAGCTAAGACAACTCGAAGAATTTATTAATGAAGATCAAAGAACACATCCTTCTGTATAGATTACAGCTCAGTATAAGGAAAACAAAAATCTTCACAACTGGATAATATCATGATAAACAGAGAAAAGATTGACGTTGGTAAGGATTTCATTTTGCCTGGATCCACAGTGATGGAAATCACAGTCAAGAAATCAAACAATTGCATTGGGCAAATCTGTTGTACAACACCGCTCTTTAAGTGTTAAAGAGCAAAGTTGTCACTTTGAGGTCTGAGGTACGTCTGACCCAACCTATGGTATTTTCAATAATCTCATAGGCACATGAAAGTTGGACACTGAATAAGGAAGACTGTAGGATAAGTACTGGATGGTGGTGGTCGTTATATACTGTGGAGTCTGTTCCGACTCATAGTGACCCTGTACAGGGTTTCCGAGGCTGTAAATCTTTACGGGAGCAGAAAGCCTCATCTTTCTCCTATGGAACAGCTGATAGTTTCAAACTGCTGACTGTGAGGTTAGCAGCCCAATTCATAACCACTATGGTGCCAGAGCTTCTTAAGTACTGGATAGCTTACCAAAATGTAGGTGGTTGAAACCCACCAGCCATGCTCCTTGGAAATCCTATACAGAGTCGCTGAGTCAGAACCAACTCAGTGGCATTTAACAATAACAAAAACAGGGAAGAATTGTTGCATAAAATCATTTTAATGCCTTTGAATTGTGGTGTTGGAGGAGAATACTGAAAGTGCCATGGACTGCCAAAAGAACCAATAGATCTATTTTGGAAGAAGTGCAGCCAGAGTGCTCCTTGGAGGCCAGGATGGCTAAGCTTCGTCTCTCCTACTTTGGACATGTTATCCGGAGGAAACAATCATTGGAGAAGGATGTCATGCTGGGTATGGTGGAGGGTCAGAGAAAAAGAGGAAGACCCCCAACGAGATGGATCAGCCAGGTTGCATCATTGATGGACTCAAGTGTGGCAGTGGTAGTGAGGTTGGCCCAGGATCGGACATTGTTTCGTTCTGCTGTGCATGGGGTCGCTATGAGTCGGTTCTGACTCGATGGCACCTGACAACAACAACAACAATCATGGTTTTGGAGAAAAATATTGAAGTGTCATGGACTGCCAGAGAAAAAACAAATTTGCCTTGGAAGAAGTACAGCTAGAATGCCTCATAGAAGCCAGAATGGTGAGACTAGTCTCATGTATTTTGGATGTTATCAGGAGGAGCAAGACCCTGGTAAAGATATAATGCTTGGCAAAGTAGAAGGCCAGGAAATAAGATGAAGACCCTCAAGAAGATGATTGGCACAATGGCTGCTGCAATAGTCCTCAAACATAAGTTATGATGATGGCACAGGATCAGGACCAGGTGCTGGCCTGTGGTTATAATCCCATTTAGGAGTGAATTGTCTTTTTGAGGTTAATTATGTAGGATTAGTGTAGGGCGTATTTGTTTGAATCAGTGTCTTTTGAGATGAAAACAGCAATGAGACAAGTGAATGCAGGAGCAATGGGCTAAAAGAGATGCCAATACAAATCTTGGGTATATACAAGTAACCAGGAAGCAGAAAGCTGAAGAGACTTGGACTTTGGATAGAGATTAAGCATTCCGTAAAGCTGGCACTCTGAATTTAGACTTCGAGTCTTCTAACTATGAAATAGTAAATTTCTATTTAATAAAGACCTTCCTTTGTGATATTCTGTAATAGCAGCACTGGTTCTTGAACAAACCATGCTCACCCCTATCTCAGAGCATTTGCCCAGGGTTACCTCCCACTATAATGCTGTTCTCTCATGTATCTTGATCTTTTTCCAAGTAACATTGACATCTTATTTAAAACTGTACTCTCTTTCCACCTCCTCATACTCTGACCCACTTTGTCATTTTGTACTTGTTTCTCTATAGTACTTACTGCTTTTGAATATACTCTATAATTTAATTATTTATTATGCTTGCTATCTGTTTCCTTCTTCTAAAATGAATGGCCTACCAAGCCAAGCTGTTGTTGTTGTTTTTAAGTTATTGATATATTCCAAACACTTAGAATAATGCCTGGCACTTAGCAGTGTCTTGATAAGTATATGTAGAATGTGTGGTTGAATAAATAAATGAATGCACCAATAGGTGTGTGAATAGGCATGTCCCCTTATATTATCAGTGTAGACTGATATGTATCATGAGGGACTAAGAGAAGATTAATGATTAAAAGAGCTCTGGTAGCATAGTGGTTAAAAATCAGGGTGCTAACCTCAAGGTCGGCAGTTTGAAACTACCAGCTGTTTTGCGGGAGAAAGATGAGGCTTTCTTCTCCTGTAAAGATTTACAGCCTCGGAAACCCTGTACAGGGTCACTATGAGTTGGAACCTACTCCACAGTATTTAACAACAACAAGAAGTGATTAAAAACTAGAAAATTTATATTCTAAGCTCAGCTCTGCCCTTTATTTTATTATATTGGGTATGTCATTATACATTGCTTGAAATGGACTATGGATCATTTAGCTATAAAAGTCTGGGGAAAGTTCTCTCTCTCTCTTTTTTTTTTTTAACACGGAAAAGAATGGAATTATCTAGATGCTGTGTAAACAGAAACAAGTTTTCTCAGAAACACTTAGTTGTTTATGTACCATGCTAGATGGAATATTAGTCCACTTCCTAACAGTCTCTTGCATTTTCTGTGAGCATATGCTAATTTCACCCCAAAATTATTTTTTTTTTTACTGTTACCAAAACCACCAAGTTCCTGGAAATCCTACCCCGACCTCCTCCTTAAACTGATTCTGACTATTGCACTTAAAGACTTCTGATCATAGGTCGTATCACATGTCATTTTCTGAGATAATGAATGCTGGGCCAGTGTAGTAGCTAAGAGTTGGAACTCTGCAGCCAGATTTCTTGAGCTGAAATCTCAGCTTTGTCATTACCTTTGTTAACTCAAGCAAGTTACTTAACCAGATTTCACTTTTCTGGACCTCAATTTGCTCATCTATAATATGGGGATAATAGTAGTACATATCTTTTATGATAGATGAACAGAATTAAATGTGTTATGTTAAAGAAATATATTAATATGGCCTGACGTATAGTAAGCCTCTGATAATGAGAGCTATTATTATTATGGATACAGATTTGATATAATTATGGAACAATATTTGTTTTTTTGTAAATTGTATTTATTAAACACCACTTCAGAAAATATTTTCATCATAAGTAATTATAAGAGCTATTGCTCTTTTAATTTTGTTTCACATATTCATTTTTCATTTATTGTTTTGTAGTGATCGAACTGTGAGAATTTGGAAGGCTCGCAATTTACAAGATGGCCAGATCTCTGACACGGGAGATTTGGGGGAAGACATTGCCAGTAATTAAACAAGAATGAAGATACTCATAAACTGAAAACTGTGATAATATTCTGTATGTCCTTTATGAAAAATATTGTTCTGCATTTACTAGGCAAAAACTTATGAATGGGATTAACTGGAAAATATATCTGAATCCAACTGCTGAATATAAATGGTATTCTAATAAAATTGTGTCTCTCCTCTGTGTTTAACTTTAGTATCTACTGATGCATACATATCCTACAATTGATATGCTGCTTGATGTGTACTCTTATTGTGGCTGGATTTTTGTGCCTAGCTATTAAAAACAAGATGGAACACCTTCAAATTATTTAAATGACAAGATGTCTGCTTTTGCAACAGTCAGAAAATACATCTGGAATACAATGCAACCCACTGTTAACACATTCATATAATCAGTTCAGATAATGTGTGTATTTATATACCTATACATATATATATATTATATTGGGAATATTAGTCAAATTGTAGTCTTCTTGTCTGTAATTTAAATCAGTCTACAGAAGGTTCCCAAATTCCATAGCTCTCTGAATGTAATGGGGGAAAAAAAAGATGTGAAAATATTACTGATGATGTTTTCATAAAGTGGAATTGACCCTAATCTACTAACAAAGAATGTCAAGCAGTTTGTATTACTATTGATGTTTACTTGTATTGACCAAAGTTTTGTGCTATATTCTGTGCTCAGGACTAAACTGCTGTTGAGTTGTTTTATTAGTGCTGTGCATACCTTCTGTGATGGTCAACACTTTTGATGTCCTAACAGAAAAATATTTTGATCTATTTTCCTATGGAGTTGTTTCTATTATTACCTTTTAATTTCATTTTTATTTAATAGTAGCGTTTCCTTCCCCTTTTATCTAATTTTTTATATGCTGCTAAATATATTTTAAATACACTATGTTTGCAAACCTTAGTAGCTAGGATGAGAACTATATCATCTGAAGTGGGAAAAGCTATGTAAATAGTTAGGTTGTAACTAGAGAATGTCTTACATTGTACCTGTATGAATTTTTAAATGCTGTAGATTGGATTTTGAGAAAGATTGTGTAATTATCTGCTCAGAACATTAATTTGCAATCCTGCAAATTTAATTTTTATGTATATGAATTAACTTTGAAAATATTGTCTTAGGTATTCCCCCCTCACCCTGAAAGTATTTGCTTGTAAATGAAAGGCTTAGCTAGAGCTTAAATAAACATGTTGCCATGAATTACTTTTATTCTTTTGTTCATTTTTCTCAGCTGGCAGTTAATATATGAAGGGATTTGAAAAGTTCATGGAAAAATTGTATTATCTTTTAATTACAGTTTTCCGTGAATTTTTTGAAGCCTCACAGTATATTCCTTTTTCTGTATAATAGATATGACATTCTTGAACAGTTTTGTTGTTGTTGTTGTTAAGTGCCTTCAAGTCAGTTCTGACCCATAGCGACCCTGTACAGGGTTTCCGAGGGTATAAATCTTTACGGGAGTAGAAAGCCTCATCTTTCTCCCATGGAGCGGCTGGTAGTTTCGAACTGCTGACCTTAAGGTTCACAGCCCGATTTGTAACCACTACGCTACCAGTTGTTGTTGTTAGGTGCCAACAATTCCATACTGACTCATAGCGACCATATGTACAACCTCACACTCATTGCTACGTTTGAGCCCATTGCTGCTGCCTCTGAGCCAATCTATCTTGCTGGGGTGTCTTCCTCTTTTTCTCCAATCTTCCACTTTATCAAATATGATATCCTTCTCCAGTGACTGGTCTATCCTAACAATATGTCCAAAGTATGAAAAATGAAGTCTGGCCATCCTAGCTTCCAAGGAGCACTCTGGCTGTATTTCTTCCAACAAAGATCTATTTGTCCTATTGGCAGTCCATGGTACTTTTGATAATCTCCGACTCCTATAACTCAAATGTGTCAATTCTTTTACAGTTTTCCCTATTCACTGTCCAACTTTCACATGTATGTGAGGTTATTGAAAATACCATAGTCCTCAAACTGACATCATTGCTTTTCAACACTTTAAAGAGATCTTGTGCAGCAGATTTGCCTAATGCAGTATGTTGTTTGATTTCCTGACTGCTGCTTCCATGAGTGTTAATGGTTTACAGTTTTAGCTGTAAACTAATCTTAATAAACCAGAGAAATACATTATTTAAAGGAATTAAATCATACTATATAATTTAGAGATGTGAACATAGATGGTAAAACAAAACAAAAAATTATTCCTATAAATGTTAGGATAGTGGTGACGGGTTATCTAAATTAGAGAGAGAAGAGAACGTCACTGGCAAGAATAAGAGGGGGTACTTGACAGTTTCTAGGAGCCCTGGTGGCACAACAGTTAAACACCAGTCTGTTAATCCCCAGGTTGATGGTTCAAAAGCACCTAGCCACTCTGCAAACAAAGACCTGTTGACCTACTTCTATAAAGATTTATAGCCTAGAAAACTACTAGTTACCATCTACTCTGTTACTTGGGATCACTATGAGTCAGTCAGAATCAACAGAAACAACAACAGGGTCCCAGCAATGTTATATTTACTGACCTGCACACTAAATGAGATCTAAGTGTTCCTGTTATAAGTGAAATTATACGTATATTTCTTTATCCCATTTCTTGCATGCTGTATTTCACTGTAAAATATTGATTTAGAAAACAACCACAAGGGATGTTCTTATAAAGATAAATCTCTACTATTTTGCAATTTTGCCTTCTTCCTTGGAGGAAGTTTTCATGTCAAGACCCAAGTTACAGTGTCAAGAGTATTTTGAACTTCAGTACTCTTGGTGTGTCTTTTTTCACAGAACTGTTGTCCAACAATTTATTAACTCAATAATTAATTATTCTATTGAGTATGCATTGGGCAAAATACTGGGGATGAAAAAAATAACCAGACTGATCCAATACTTGCCCTAAGTGGAGAGAGGGAAGCATGACAGCTCAGTAAGTGTTCTGATAGGAAAAGTCCCTGAGCTGTAGCACTCGATGGAAGCAACCAGACCTGGAAGCAAACTTCTTTTTTTATTGCAGCTTCTCTACTTTACCATGCATGGTGTCCTTGTCCAGGGACAGGTCCCTTCTGATAATACACCCAAAGTATAAGAAACAGTCTCACCATCCTGGCTTCTAAGAAGCATTCTGACTGTACTTCTTCCCACA